CCCATCATCAACAAATAATGCTAGTAACAACTTTTGTTCTTCGTCGATACTGCAAAACAAACATGGATCAGCCTTGCTCTCCTTCAGACCATAATGTGACAAGAAATTTTTGAATTTTCTATTCCAGCAAGGAGGAGACTGCTTAAGTCCATACAGACATTTTACCAATTTAACACACTCTGCCTGACTTGTTATCATAACCTTCAGGATGAAGCATATAAATCTCTTCATTCAATGTCTGATACAGAAATGCAGTTTTGTCATCAAATTGTATCCGATCTAGACTTTCATTATCAGCAACACTAATCACAGAACAAATGGTTTCAAAATGTACCACAGGACTAAATGTTTCATAGTAATTGATGCTTGTCTTTTGGGAAAAAAAACTTTTAACCACCAACTGAGCTTTAAATTTGTCGATATCACCATTTGCGTGACGTTTCACTTTGTAAACCCATTTATTTGAAATAGCTTATCTGCCCTTTGGGAGATCAGTCAAGTACCGTGTTTTAATTTCTGATAAAGATTTCAGCTCTTCATCCATTGCAGCCTGCCACTCCAAGGCATTATCTGAATTTACAGTTTGGCAATAATTCTCTGTTTCCACATACTCCACTAAACAACACTTGATCAATCTTTCAGGTGCTTTTAGGTTTTGTCAATTTCTCAGCTGTTTTCCTGATTGTATGTCCTCATTAGCTGGTTCTGGATTATTTTCCTCTTCATTGGTGTCTGATAAGTAAGGTTGTACATTGATAGGCTGTTCAGGAATTGATATAACAGCAGTGGATGATGAAACAACTTCAGGAGTAAACACTACTTCTCTAGTTCTTTTTACTTCTCTTGTACCTTTTAACCATACCCGATAACCATCAACATCATCTAAATAACCAACCAATATTCCTGTCTCACTTCTTGGACTCCACTTCATTTGCTTCTGTTTAGGTACATGAATAAAACACCCTGTGCCTATAACTCTAAGGTGATTAAGTCTTGGAGTTCTGCCTCAAAACAATTCAAATGGAGATTTGCCATCTACTGATGAGGTTCCAGCATGATTTAATATATATACAGCAGTATTAACCAACTCAGCCCACAATGACTTTGGCAGAGATTTAGCAATCTTTGTTGTTCAAGCTAAATCAACGAGTGTTCTATTTATTCTTTCAGCCGTTCCATTTTGCTGGGGGGGTATAGGGGGTGCTGCAGCGAAGCTCTGATTCCATTCTTCCCAAAATATTCTTAAAGTCCTTGTTTATATACCCAGTCCACCGTCACTTAAAATTGCTTTGATTGGCTTCTCTGTTTGATTTTGAAAAAATGTGCATAATTCTTCAAACTTAGCTACAGTTTCTGACTTGTACTTAAGAAAATGAACTTTTCTTCTGTACATAGAGAAATCATCTGTAAAGCATATACAGTACAAAGTCCGAATCCAGACTCGTCGGGACTTCGGCGATTCCGGATTAGGGATTTTTCCGGATTATAGATCATCAATTTAAATCTGGTAAGATGGCATGCAGAAATTATACAATTAAAAATATTAAACTAATTTATGAAATAAAGAGCAATTATTATCTAAAGGGTATCAAAATTTACAAAAAAAAAAGCTTAATATTTATTTCTTTACTTTATTAAACATTTCTTTCAATGTAAGTCGTTTGTTTCGTTTTTTGTGCTAAACGCGCATGCGTAAACATTAAACGCGCATGCTTAACATTAAACTTGCATGCGTAAACGCATTACGTGCATGAAGAGAAATTATGATCTATAGGGTATCAAAATTTAGAAAAAAAAAAGCTTAATATTTATTTGCTTACTTTATTAAACATTTCTTCCAATGCAAGTTGTTAAAGTTGCTTCGTTTTTTGTGCTAAACGCGCATGCGTAAACGCATTACGTGCATGCATAAAGCATACAAAAAAGTTCGTGGCTTTGAGGTCCGGATTATAGATCATTCCGGATAATAGACGTCCGTATTACGGACTTTGTACTGTATAATATTGAGAACCACCTATGGAATTCTTCTTCCATAGGCCCACAAAGATCAGTATGAATGAGTTCACCAACCTCTTTAGCACGTTGTTGATGACTCTGGACTATGCTGTTTGTTTTCCTAATACAGTCAAAAGTCGTTAATTCGGACACCCATAATCCGGAATGATCTATAATCCGGACCTCAAAGCTAAAAACTTTCCGCGCATGCGCCGCGTTGACACATGCGCATTGGCGTTTACGCGTGCGCGTAAGACCTTTACGCGCACGCGCATATGCGTGTGCGCAAGTGCAGAATACGTTTTCGCGTGCGCGTTTAACGTATAACGAACGGTATATGCTAAAATTATACAATTATCTATTTCAGTAATGTTGATGCTTGCGTTATTCCTTAATCTTCGAATTGGATGCAGCTTATTATTTTTTGCAGACTGTAAGAGCAATTTTATAAAAGTAAACTGAACTTTCGATTATGTCAATTTCCGATTCTGGAGCTCCCAAAGGATTACAAAACGAAAGTATGGTCTCGATGTCCGTCAAACAAAAAGTGGAATTGCTGCAAAAAATGGATAAAGACATGAAGAAAGGACAGAGGAGGTTAGTGAAAACGAAAAAAATTTCGATTGACAATGTTAGTCGGTATTATCGGCACAGCAATTAACGGGACTTGAACAGCGGAACGGAACTTGTAACTGAACAAGAAATTATGTTGTTTATAGAATTAAAGAGAAAGTATTTCACATAAAAAACGAAACCAACTTACATTGAAAGAAATGTTTAATAAAGTAAACAAATAAAAATATTAAGCTTCTTTTTTTTTTTTTTTTTTTTTTTTTTTTTTTTGTAAATTTAGATATCCTTTAGATCATAATTGTTCTTTATATTCTTAAAATACGGTTTCATTTTTTAATTTTAGAATTTGTGCATGCCATCTGACGAGATTTAAACTGATGATCTATAATCCGGAATCGCCGAAGTCCCGACGAGTCCGGATTAACGACTTTTGACTGTATACAGGCCTCACAAAAGTGACTATCCAGTTTTATTATGATATCATGGGACTGAAATACCTTTTTAGTATGTTGTTCATTTAAATGTCCCAGCCTTTCATGCCAGAGTTGAAGATAATTTGTTTCACTTACCTATGCTTTAGAGGGACACACAACACTACGTTCAATTTCAGGGAACACGGTTTTGCACAATAACTTTTATAAGTTACCACAGCGAATTCCAACAACAACAACATTTTCAGATTTCAAAAATTCACATTTTTCTTTTGACATATTAAACTCGCATCCATGACCTAGTGCCTGGCTTACAGAAAATAAATTCCTTGCAGCATCAGGGGCATACAGTACATTTTCCATGAAGCTGTTTCTCCATGAACTCTGTACTAAGATTTTAAGTGATATGGCACCGTGTCCATAAACTTTCATTGTTGCATTATTACTAACTCTTACTTCAGTTGGACGCTCAAATTTTGTATATGATTGAAACCAGTCAATTTTGTTTGTAATATGCTATAGCTGCAGTGTCGATTACCCATGCATTATTATCAGTCGCAATGAGACTCTCACTAATGAAGGCTTTCCCATAATTGGACATTTCATCATGATTGACTGTCATGTAATTATTTTTCTAGGATTTACAGCCCTTTTAAAGTGACCCTTTTTGTCACATTTAAAACATTTTTACTGTTTTCTCTGTTAACAGGCGCGTTTTTCCGTGAAAATGTTTGCGTGCTTGCAAATTTTTCAACAGTATTTTTAGCCATTAAAGCAACAAGTTTACTGCCCGTACATTGCTGTGACATCCTTCTCTGATCTGAAATTAACAGTTTCGGCAGTCTTTGCTGTTCTTCCGACCTTGCACACCAAGCCGTTTTTAGTGGCTCAAATTCATTAGTGAGAGTTTCTAATAGTTTGCTCAAAATAACAAAGTCCTTTGGTTTAATTTTTAAATCGTGCATTCGTGACACCAGACATTCTTATTTTGCTATATGCATGGCCATTATATCTGTAGGATCACGCACAAATGATGGAAACTGCAACTGGCATGCATACTGTGCTTGCTTATTTTTCTGTTCAAACAATTCATGCAGCTTCACCCATATTTCTCTTGCTGTTTTGCACATAGAAACTAAATAACAAATTTTTTAGTCTAATGTCCGTTAAAAAATTCCACGAGCAGCTCTATTACCCTTGTCAAACTTGGTTAATTCTCATTTGTATTTATTCCGGACTTCAAGGGGAGCACCTTTGGCAACTGGCTTTGGTTTGATTATTTCCCCAGAACACACTTCGAAAACTGCTTCTTTTTCCATAAGTAAACCTTCAACCATCCACTTCCATCACACCCAATTTTGTGATTCCCAAGAGTTTTTCTGTACTAAATGCTTCCATGATTATAATGAAACTTGTTTTCACTTCTGAGGAATTCACACAGTTAGGCTTAGCAATAAAATTTCTTATAGCACAGATAAAGTTAGTATGGGCCCATAACTTCTTAAAGTATTATTCAGTTATGCAGAGCTACATAAAATTTTATTTATTTAATATTAAACCACCAGGAAAGCATTTATTACCTTTACAGTGTGCGAAGGAAAGACAAGCGGTAACATTATATTTTTAATTTCTGTAGAACAGTGTTTCTAAACTACAGTTGAATGTTGCTAAAAGAATTATACAAACAAATTAGACATTGTACTTGCAAACAAAAGCGTAAAATAAATGCATTAAATAAATTTGAGTTCATAGCATTAACATAAACAAATAATGTAAAAAACAGTTTGTGTTTAACTTGATATTACTGTTTGAAGGTTTTATTTCTTGTGACTTGTTTTAGTACTAGGAAACATACTAAGGAAAACATATAGCATATTTCTTGTGCTTAATCATAAATATTTTACCATATGGTAATGTTATATTGTTTATTTTAGTACAGAAATTTGTAATATTTTTGTGGAACAGGCTTATGTAAAATTAATTGTTTGCATATTTTTCTAGCCAACAACAGTTTTGACAAATTTGCAGAGAGGGAATGTCCAAACACAAACACCATCAGTTTTGCCTGGTATGATATAAATATATGTATTTCTCTAAAAAAATATATTTTCAGAAAGCATCTTAGTGTATTTTACTGTTCTGATTTGAACCAGAATCAAGAGTGTTGTGTCATCCAAAATCATGAGGCTTACTTAGTAGATAAGTAATCAAGTTATTTATAATAATCAGTTGACATGCGGTATGTTTTTATATTATTCAACATTGAAATTATAACACCTAGAAGGAGAGGTTATAGAAAATTGAAATCTGCAGGATTAGTAGACGTGAAAATTAGACTGGAAATGTTCAGATCATCTTGATTTATTTCAGTATAGAGTATGATTGCTATTTGTTGAAATGCATGTACTTGCACTCTATAGGATGCTGTTGAGGTCATTAATCATTGTCTCAGAAATGTTTTGACCCACTGCAAACATTTCGGTGTATAAAATATTAAGATTCATAGCTAGCTGTTCATTTTGCGACAGCTAACAAATGATGGAAGGTAGATGGGATGTACTAGGTTGAATTCACACAAGTTGTTACTCAGCAGCATGAGCAAATTTGCCTTAGCATTGTTGTGTGAAAATGCGGCTTCTGTGAACATTTTGTAGGAATGGCTAAACCAATGTCCACATGACCAAACTTACCGTTTATTGAACTGTCAGTAGACCAGGAAAGAAGAATAATGGGATACATTTATATTGTTCTACATCACTATTCCAGAAGCAGGGCTGGTATCATGTTCTGTCTTGAAGACTTGTTGATGTCCACTCTTTCTTGGACAGGAGCAAAACTCATCACTGAAGAATATAGTTGTCACTTCTAACCTCCATTCAATCTGGATGTACACAAGAAAACCTTCAAGAGTGTTGCCTGTGGGGCAATGCAATATTGCTTATTGACTAGCTCATAGCCTAGTGGCAGATGTATAGATCTGATGATTGATGTAGATAATACTGGACTTAGTGAGCTTAGTATGTAATGTCTTTGTACCCTTATAGTAGACCAAGGATCACTATCTGCTATTCTTCTAATTTGACGATTTAAGTGAGCAGACGTTTGCCTCCAACTACCACTTGCTATCATTTAAGTTTTTTGTTCATGCTATCATTGCGAGACACCATTATATAGTTGTGAAATTTTGGCTTAAAGACTTAGCAGTCTGCCAGAGTGATAAGTCAACAGCTTGGGAGTTCAGAAATGCTATCCATCTCTATTTGCGATAGATAAATGGATGTGTATCAAAATACAGTACTTGATCCATTTTTCCAATCCTCATGAGGAAAAAAAATCATAGTCAGTCAGGGTTTTATATTATTTAAGATCTTTCTGTGTGTTGCTGTTTGGGAGCTGGATACCTCAAAATTTGATCATTTTCATAGATATATTTACAGCCCCCTCTCCAAAATCTGCATAACCTTACTTTTCTTTCTTGGTTTTGTAGTTTCAATGTTGAGTAATGTTTTGTTCAGTATTGAATGTATTAAAGGAAATAGGCAAGGCTGTAGTGATAGCCTAGAAATTATCATTATTACGTTGATCTGAGGTGTACAGTGACTGAAAATATAAGGCAATGTAAGATTTAATGCTGAGGTAACTAAAGTGATCAGAGATTTAAAGGTGGGATCATTCAGGTTAGTGTTTTTGCTGTAATAGGTGATAAGTTTAAAAAAAAAAAAGCTTTTCGGCAAACAAAAAAACTGAGTCGATTTTCAGATTTTTCAGGAGAGATAATTATATGATTTATGACATCCTGATCATATTTCCTTTTGAATGGTACCTTAATTTATGTAGCTGTCTTAATTTTAGTAGCTGCCCCCCCTCACCATTTAACTTATTGCAGAAAGATTTGCAGTTTTGAAAAGTGTAAGATTTTCTCCCTGTCGAAAGAGATTTCAGAATGGTGCAAAACAGGTACATACATGAAAAGAGGAATCTCTTATTCTGAAAAGCCTTTTATTGAGGGAAAAAAACAGGTCTCGTTAACAGTACATGTGGAATCTAAGCGAAGATTTAGTCCTGGTAGGTAAGAAATGACCTGGGACTTTTTATTAGCCTGTTTTAATTAGAATTATCACGTAAAAGAAAATAGTTTTAGTTATGATCATAGTGTATGTGCTCATTATAGTAACTCCTGGATTTGATTTCTGATTAAAGACATATGTATGTAGCGTATTCGGAAACTAAGTACCGTTTCATTCTAGCGCTGTGGTAGGCCTTCCGCGCATGCGCACTAGTCTTTCTTGTTCACTGACTTTCAATTGTCGCCATTTTGGTTGCTCTATGTTGTGTTTTAAGTTTGCTGTGCACATTCAAAAGTTTAAGACAATTAGTTCTCCCGCTGATTGCGAGATTTGTGCCGTGATTAAATTTTTGAACGCGAGGAATGTTAAACCGGCAGAAATTTATTGTCAAGTGACAGAAGTTTACGGTGAATATGCGATAAGTGATGGAATGGTGGGAAAGTGGGTAAGAATGTTTAATGCAGGTCGAACAAATGTCCACGCCGAGGCTCGGAGTGGTCGGCCTGCTGTTGTCACCGATGATTTGGTAAGGAAAGTTGATGAAGCAATTCATGAGAACAGACGCTTAACAATGACAACTCTTTCAGAGGCATTTCCAGAAATTTCACGTACTGTTTTGTTCGAAATTGTGTCTGACCGCTTGAATTATCGCAAACTGTGTTCTCGATGGGTTCCGAAAATGCTCACTGATGTTCACAAAACAAAGCGACTTGGTAGTGCCCTGACATTTCTCACGCAGTACAGTGATGAGGGAGAAAACTTTTTCAACCAAAATTGTGACAGGTGATGAAACTTGGGTGTGTCATTTCACCCAGAATCGAAACAACTATCGATGGAGTGGAGACACACTCATTCTCCGAAAAAAACAAAAGTTCAAAGTGACAATGTCCATCACAAAAAATCATGTGTACTGTTTTCTGGGATAGGAAAGGCGTTCTGCTTACTGAATTTCTTCCCCAGAGGTGAAACCATTAATGGCGGCACAATATTGTGAGAGACTTTAACAAAACTAAGGCGTGCCATTCAAAACAAACGAAGAGGAATGCTCAGTAAAGGAATTGTGTTGCTCCATGACAATGCTCGGCCCCATACTGCTGGTGTAACTCAATCGTTAATTCGACAGTTTCATTGGGAGCAGTTCGATCACCCGCCGTACAACCCGGGCTTGGCGCCGTCCGACTATCACTTGTTTCCTGCACATGAAGCGCGAGCTTGGTGGCAAACGCTTTGGATCTTGACGATGACACGAAAAATGCTGTGGAGTCGTGGTTATCGAAACTGGCGGCAAGTTTCTTTGACGATGGTATACAAAAACTGGTCACCCGCTATGACAAGTGTTTGATCATTGGCATAAACTGTGTTGAAAAATAGTTTAAGACATGTATTTTCATGTAAAAATAAAATTGGATTCGAAAAAATTGTTTTACTATTTTTTTTTTTTTTCAAAGCGGTACTTAGTTTCTGAATACGCCTCGTATAATAAGCAAAAAATGGTGTTAAAAGATAGTGTCGGTATGAAGTAAATTTAGGATGCCACTTTATCATAAAATGTTAAAGCCATACTTGAGTTAAATATATTCTTGTGTGTTCTGAAGTGAAAGTTTTTTTTCCTTGTATTAAATTTGGTTTATAAAGGAAAACTTATGTGGAAGATTCAAGGCAGTTTAGTAGTATAAGTAGTGGAGGATTAATGAGAGTGCTTGAGAATTCTGAGATGAAAAGTTTGTTGCTAGGATTGTGTAGGATTTTTGTTCTTGATATTTTCCAATTCCCAATTCTGGGGGGGGGTGAAACTGTTGAAATGTTTTGGGGGATATTTTTGCTCATCAAGACAAATTAAGGTTTCCCAATATTTCTCGTCAAACAATGTTAGTTAATTACAGCCTCTTGATAACGAAATAAATCAGTCATTTAAAATTAAATATCTAATCATGAAAATTAAGTTCGCTATTAGTAGCTACTTTAAAATACAAATTTTTATTGAAAGTAGCAACTGAATTTGATATCTGTTTGTATTCTACAGAACTATGAAGATGATACTGAACTGTAGAATGGAATTTCACAGTCCGACCAATTTTTAAATTATATAACTTTCGACATTATAGTGTTTATATTGTTAAAGGGTTTCTTCATGCCCATAAAGTTTTATTTTTGGAGTAGTTCAGGGGTGTTTGTGCTCCGGGGATTTTGAACTTCGATACCCGGAAATTCCGGGGATCGTCGTTCAAAAGGAAGTAGGAATAATAATGAATTATTTATTTTGATCTGGGTAATTTTTGTTTGCTTTGCTTTGAAAGCAGAAAACGCAAGGGGGTCAGTGTGTGTGGTGAAAACTTTTCCTTTCTTTCTCCAAAGGCAGTGATAATGCGTGAAAAGGGAGAAAAACTTCTTTTTTGTTCTTTCCTTATTGCGAGTTATGACTCATTCCCCCGGTTCTTGGACATTCTCTTCTGGATTCTTTTTGGCAAGTAGGCGCGGCAGAAAAAAAAGGGAGAGACTTTGTTCGACCAGATGTGCAATCACGTGACTCTGGGTTCAAAGGTCTTATCTCTCCTGGCGCCAATAAGTAGAGAAGGGGGATTTTTCGCCGTATTAGCTATTTGTCATTGATCGCTTCTCAACTTTTTTTTCCTCCGCTGTGTAAAATTTTCGTTTCATTTATTGATGCACGTGTAAATTTTTCGTTTTGTTTATTGAAATATTTTTTTATTTATGTACGCAAGAGAATTTCACTATGAAATTTCTTGATATAAATAGTGATATTATACAATTAGAAGAAGGTGTCCGGAATGCATTTAGGTGGAATTGGATTGAACGGAGAGATGGTAATGGGAATACCATCGGCACATGGTGCAAGAAAATAAATGTTGCTGGACAAGCATATTGTGTTTTTTGTAACTCACTGCTGAAGTGTGGTGGGAAAGGATTCAAGGCTTTCACAAATCATTCTAAAACTGTGACGCACATAAATATTCAAAGTGCATTAGACATTCAATGACTTTAAGTAATTATGCTAATTCTAAAAATACTGATGACTTACTGGAGACTGATGCTCGGCCATTGGATATAGTGACAAGAAAAGCACGCCAAGAGGTATTAATAACTTCGTTTATCGCCGAGAATTCTCTTTCTCTCAATGTAGCTCCCAATTTAATTGAACTCTGCAAACAGTTGAGCCGCGATCAGACGATACTAAACTCGTTGGAAATGTCCAGGACTACTGCATGTTATAAGATGAAATATGGGCTCGCAAAAACTATTAAGGAAAATATCATTAAAACTTTAAAGGAGACTCCATTTTCTCTAAATTTATTATTGAAAGTATTAGCAATGCTCAAGAAAGTATACTGGCAATATTGGTGCAGTTTTATGACAACAATCAAAATGATGTTGTAGTTCATCATTTTGCATCTCTAAAGATGGAATCTTGCAATTCAGAAGCTGTTTTTAAAGCAGTTGTTAATACTATTGAAGATAATAATATTCCATGGGCAAACTTAATTAGTGTATTAATGGACTCATGTAACACCATGCGTGAAAAAAAAAAAAAAAAGGGTGTTGAAACCAGACTACGATCAAACAAAGCACCCCACTTATTAGATATTGATGGTGACACATGTCACACAGCTAATAACTGTGCAAAAAAATTTGCTTCATGTTTTGATAGATACTTAGAAGATTTTTGTTTGATGACATCTATTTTGATATTGAAAAGCTGCAGTAAAAGAGAAAATTTTTTCAAAATCTGTGAATCCCTTGCCATTGAAAAACTTAAGCTAAGCCCTTGAAGAGACCAGACCATAGGTGGGTGTACATTTTATGTGTTTTAGAAAGAATCAAAGATCTGTGGGATGCTCTTATTGCATTTTATTTTCACTACTTGGATAAAAACTGATAAAGGGGGATTATTTTTCTTATGTTGAAACTGTATACAATAAAAAGAAATATTTCTGCAGCTCAGAAAAAAATTGTTGAAGGGGTGTATTCTTGCTTGCATTCCCAACAACTCACAAAGGATGCTTTAGCTCGGAAAAAAAAGAATACTAAATAGGTTATTTGTTATGCAAAACAAAACTTGATTGCATATGGCATTATATTCAGCAGTATTACCAGAGTTCAACACATATATTAAATTATTTGAAACAAAAAAAACCAATGCTTCATTTAATACATTCCAGTATTTATAAATTGATGGCAAAATTTTTCTCTTTTTTTATGAAGCCAGAAAATATAGAGTATATAGAGTGCACATCTTATAATGATTTATTAAAGGTTGATGTCACAAATTCAGAATTCCATCTACCTAGCAAAGTAATATTTACTGGTGCAGAAGCTTTCACTCTCTCTGAAGAAATTATCAAAAAATCATCCAATAGCAAAAGAATTCCAAATTTCTCTGATGAAAGCTTATACTAATACAGCACAGCATATGAAACAGAAATTACCCCTTAAAAATTCATATCTAATTAGTTTTACAGCATTAGATCCAGAGCTAAGAGGTAAAACCAGTACAATATTAGCTTTTGAAAAATTATCATCTTTTATGTCCCATATTTTTAGTGATAATGAAAAATCAAAAGTAGAAGCTGAAATAAGGTTATACCAGAGTGATATTGATATCACCAAAGAAATGCTCTACACATCTGATGAAAGTGGAAATCAAGTCAATGTATAATTGATAAATATTGGTCTAAAGTTTTTAATTTAAAAGATGATTTCACAAATGATTATAAGTATCCTACATTGGCTAAATTGGTCAAAGCCTGCCTTAGCTGCTTCCATGGCCCATTAGTGGAAAGTGCATTCAACTTAATGGATACACTTGTCACTGATTATAGAACCTCTCTTAAGATTGATTCCCTAGATGCAGTGCAGACTATTAAATATGATTTAATGGCTTCTAAAGAAACCTCATGTGAAAAATATGGCTAAAAAAAATCCAATGACTGATCCAATTCACAAAGATCTCTTACTGAATATGAACAGAAGTTGGAAAACATATCAAGAGGACTTGAAAACATGTATTTCAGATGAGTCACCTATAAAAGTCTCTAAAAAAACCTTTTACATTAGCAGAAAAGCAAACTGCTTCTACCTCTGCATGTGCAGTTCTCGAGGAAATTTCTTCAACTGTAAATGAGGAAAATAAAAGTCAACCTTCCTGCAATTATGAAGTTCACCACAAAAGAAAGACAAGCCCACAAACATCAGAAAATAAAAAAAAGCAGCAGAAATTAGATAATTTTTTTAAAGAATTAATTCAGGTAATTTAAAATATTTACATAAAATGTAGTAGTTTATATGTTTGAAAATTTATGGTTATTAATTTTGCAAAAAAAGTAATTCATTGAACTTTTATAATTAGGTCATTTAATACTTCATAATTGTAATTTTTCATTTCTCTCCCCCCCCCTTCTCGAAACTCCAAAATGTCTGTGGTAAGTCCGTAAAAGTTTCAGGGGATTTTTTGGGGTCCCACAAACACCCCTGGTAGTTGGTAGGATATGTGTTGGACAGTTGGAGGATAATTCTGTAGCAGAGATACATTGTGTATGTGTTATCTATGCATTAAAGTAATACTTGTAATGTGAGGTATGCAAATCATCTCAAAGCTCTTGCTGGCATGCTTTGCATCCATTCACATTTGTGAGATGATAGTGCATTATGGTGAGCATAATCATAAATTTCTTGGTGTTTCTAGTTGGTATGATCCGCTAGCAGCTGAGCGGTAAAGTCACTAAACACCGGTAGTTCAATCTGGCGTTCAAATTCTGGTAAATGGGCGTTTTCATCATTCTTTCATGTGTGACATGTATTTAAGCCAGTTGCCCTGAGAAAGTCCTTTCCTCCAGTCAGATAGCCTTTGAGTGCTTTGTCATAATAATCTAAACCAATTGTTTTGGCATGGCTGAAACTTTTAATCCGGTCTGTAAGCAGCTGACAAAAATCGTCATTTTCAAAACAATTTGAGACTATTAAGAGGTGATTGTGCATATTACCACCCTCACAATTTGATAGGACTAGCCATTCAGGTATGTAAACTGTTAACTCAGGATACTCTGTCATTTCAAGGATGAGTGTTGGTTTAATAAAAGAAGGGCATGCATTAACATCTCAGCACAAGAAACAGATTTATTCATTACATTTCACAGACAAAGTATTCATTAGATATACTTTTCATTTATTATTATACTGGAGTGAAAGCTATGCTTTATATTAGATAATGCATTGCTCGTTGAATATTAGTGTATATATTAATGCTAATTCATAGTACAGTCAAAAGTCGTTAATTCGGACACCCATAATCCGGAATGATCTATAATTCGGACCTCAAAGCTACAAACTTTCTGCGCATGCGTCGCGTTCACGCATGCGCACAGGCGTTTACGAGAGCGCTTACGGCTGCGAATATGTTTGTGCGCATGCGCGTTTAATGTGTAACGGAGTTATACGCTAAGCTAAAGTTATCTAATTCAGTTAATGTTGCAGATTGCGTTGTTCCTTAATCTTCGAATTGGATCCGGCTTATTATTTTTGCAGACTGTTAGAGCAATTTTATAAAAGTAAGCTTGAACTTTCTATTATGTCAAATAGAATTCCGATATATATTTACTACAAAGCGAAAGTATGTTTTGAAATCCGAAATCTGTTTATCAATTTCACGCTGCTCTGCGGCAGAGGGGGGGGGGCAGAAACGTCATTATTAGATTATGATAGATTAGAAAGATAATGTCAAATAGAATTTCCAATATATATTTACTAATATGTAATTTGTATCTACAAAGCGAAAGTATGTTTTGAAATCCGAAATCTGTTTATCAATTTCACGCTGCGGATTGGAAGTTGATCTCTCAACACTATCCTTATCTTCAAAGCAGATGTTTTTATTTTATTTGGATTATAATTCCGTACTAAGTTTAGTATTTCATCTCGATGTACTCCGTCTTTGATATGATTTAAATCAAGTTCCTCGTCATTATAATTCGCTTCCGATAGTGAAGAAAGTGACCCAGAGGTTATTGAAAAACGAAAAACATTTCGATTGACAAATTAGTCGGTATTCTCAACACAGCAATTACAGGACTTGAACAGCGGAACTTTGTAACTAAACAAGAAATTATGTCTGTTTAATAGAATTAAAGAGAAAGTATTATCACATGAAACGAAGCAACTTACATTGAAGGAAATGTTTAATAAAGTATACAAATAAATATTAAGCTTTTTCTTTTTGTAAATTTTGATACCCTTTAGATCATAATTGTTCTTTATTTCATAAATTACGGTTTCATATTTTTAATTTTGTAATTTTTGCATGCCATCTTACCAGATTTAAACTGATGATCTATAATCCGGAAAAATCGATAATCCGGAATCGCCGAAGTCCCGACGAGTCCGGATTAACGACTTTTGACTGTAACTGGATAATGCTGTACTAATGTTGAGTTTCTAATTTTTGCTTTCTAGTATCATCATTTAGTTGCTTCACTATATTTTATTTATTTCTCCAAGTGTTAGCTAAGAACACTGCAGTCAGTTTCATTTGATTGAGCTTATATCTGCTTTGCATAGGATAGACTGAACTCATGCAGTCTGTGATTGTTCATTCTGAAATAAATGGGATGTAGGCAGACTTTTCTTTTCATCCTGTATTATATAGGCATTTGCCTCTATTAGCTTGGATATCTGGTTTAAGGGAAGAAGAAATTGTTTTTTTCTGCTTGATCTTAATAACAAATTTTAAACAACTGATTTTAGAAGTTTCTCACTTATATCCTTATATATATATTTTCAGCAGGAATGGATTGTGTTATCTTTGTTTTAATTATTATTATTATTTTTAATTTCAGAGAGAAGTTTACACCAATTAGCTGCACAAGGAGAGCTCTTCTTACAAAACTTAGGTGTGTAAATTTGGTATATTTTATCTCTTGGAAGTCTTAGAATTTTAAGTATATACAATGCATGAGTTGCGACATCTTCACCCACTCATTCATTAATGAATTGAATGAATGAGAAGTGAATCTAGCAAACTTAGGAGCTCAAAGAAAGAAAAAAATTACACACTACCTCATATTACTGTATCTTCAGTTTATGTCTATGACTTTATTTAAATAACCAGCCATTTTCAATTTAATGCATTATTTTAGAAAGACTAATACCTGTTGATCATTCAGCTGTCTCATCACCGAGAATATTGCCCAAGGTGTATCATTGAGGGCAACTAATTTTACACCTCGGAGAATAGGAAAGTTCCATCCCAATTTTGATGAAGAATACCTTTGGGCAGGATTGATACAAGGGTCTGCTAAACCTCTTCCCTTACCATCAAACCTCGCAATAGGACCTGCACCTTGCCAGTATTATGAGTGCTCCCATGCTGCATAGATACTATACACTTACAGACACACAAGCCTTCTGCAGCATTCAAACACAGGCCCAATGATATGGTAGCTAGCAGAATTAACAACTATATTGATCCATGTGGCTACATTCAATTTATCATTATTTTAAATCTTACATGTGATTTTGCTGTAATTCCCTCCAACATTTTAAAAGCAAAACCTCAACTTTTTTCAGATTGAAAATCCTGCACCCCAAAATAAAGAAGGTACTTACTAAAATACTGGTGAAAGGTCAAAAGTCACTGAATAAGTTATCGAAGCTCTAAACAATGTGAAAAAAAGATTAATATGTGAAACTGCGCTGCAGTAGATTGGAGTAATTGTGTGTGTGATTTCTCTGCTGCATTATTAGACAAATATAAAACAAATCATTAAATAGCTGTCTGAAAAGATCAACATGATGTTGTCGTCAGCACGCTCAGTGCGTATTCGAGAGGTCAGTGGTTCGATTCCCGGCGATGGCATTTCTCATTTTTCATCTCTCCTTGCTTCGAAACAACCTAATGTCTCAACATTGGCACCAGAACTAAAAAAAAAGGTGGTGGATGATCATTCTCCACCACTAGGATTTCGTGATTGGGGTCCCCTAATTCCCAGTCGCCCTTTAAAAGAGGAAGTATATAAGGTATTTCTCCCACCTTCTTAGGATGCCTTCGGGGTGTAGTGGTCAGCACACTCGGCACATATTCGAGAGGTCCGTGGTTCGATTTCCAGCGAGGGCATGGCTCATTTTTCATCTCTCCTGCTTCGAAATAACCCAATTTCTCTACAACTGTTAAGAAATTTTAAAAATTTAAAGATATCTAAAAAAATTAAGAAAATGTTACTCAAATAATTTACTTTTGTTAAAAATAATAGCTGTTGTTGTCAGCTTGTAAAACAAAGTTTGCCTTGTTTCAAATTGAAGACTGAAGACGCAGACCAAACTGAAGCCAGTGCTAACACTTTATTGCAGTGCCACAGGGGAATTTCGCATTAAAAGAAATAAATATGAATGCTTCTTGGAATATTGACCTTGCTGTTCTTGCATATTTTTTTAAGAGTGCAAATTCTCTTGCTGCATTCATATTTACTTTATGGCCCCTTATATTTATGCAGAGTTTGGGTGAAATCAGTGTGTCCAAAGTAATGCATTTTCCTATTTAGTTTAACTAGGGTGCCATATTTTTCACTATCTTATTCTTTGCTTCTAAGCTTCAGGAAATCATTTTGTATCTGACTTAGACAAGTAAGAAAAAATTCTTCTACTTGTCAGTTAAACATCAAAATAAAAATTATGTGGTTAGCATTCAAGTTATGAAATTCAGTAATTGTTGTCTTTTCTGGGTGTTGATTTAGTGTGGTAGTATTGATTTTATTGCAAGGATGAAAACATTTAAATTGATTTAACTTCTGAGAATAAGATGCATGGAGAAAAATAAATAATATTTAACACTTCAATGTAATTTTGAACTGTAAACAGTTTCTGGAGTGCATTCTGTGTGTCTCATGCCTTATATGAAAGTAAATAAATGTATTTTAGATACATTGCTTTTGTGGTATTGTTCTTTCAATATTCATGAGCGAGTTCCCTAATGAATCTGTTATAGCCCTGTTGACAACGAAAAGCTAAAATTTAATTTGGGGTTCCCATCTACCTGATTCAGTGTGCTTTGTAAAGTTCATAAAAACAAAAATTGTTTGGAAACATGAAAACACTGCATTAGACAAGGGCAGATACAACAGCAAACCTTTCCTTACATAGCAAACTCTTTAAGTTCTGGTACATTATAGAAGCTGATGTTACTTGCACAGTGTCAGCACCATTCATCATCAATTTCAGTTGATTTCAGTTTATAACAGCCCACTAAAAATTGCCTTTATTAATGCATGTAAACACTCAAAGTGTCTTTTTTAAATTTCTAAGACATATTACTGATATTATTATTTTAAAAATAATATTTCTTTTTAATAAAAGTAACTATAAGATTGGAATGAAAAAAATTGATCTCACAAGAACTAATACTCTCACCTTCCCCTTGATTCATTTAATTTATTGATATATTGTAATTTAATTACGTACTAAAATTATAAACTTCCAAAGTTTTACAAGATGCAAGGGAAAAAGTTGAGAACCAACAAGAATAATTTTTAGAACTAAATCAAAGGGGAAGAAGTCTTGGGAAAATCATTAGTACTGTTTAATTGAATCATTTTTGCTCTCGTCAGGGTGATGGGCAAAAATAATTGAATTTTCCAATGGTACCCAAATCAGCATTTATGATACTATGCATATTTTAAACTACGGAAGCAAGTTGTAAACAATTGCACTGTGAACATCCACTGTGTGATCTGAACAACTAAAAAAAAAGTTAAATAAATAAAGCACTTTCTTCCAAATGTGGAGTGTAAAACCCTCCTTTGTAAACTCCAAGAAAGATGCAAAATTGGTTAAATATGCAAGTGCGTAATTCAAATAAGTATTTCAAAATGGAAACTGAAGAAAAGTTGAACAACGTTTCATATGCCAAATAGTGAGAGGAAGATGACATAGCATATACAGTACAAAGTCCGAAATCCGGACTCGTCAGGACTTCGGCGATTCGGGATTTGGGATTTTTTCCCGATATTAGATCATCAGTTTAAATCTAGTAAGATTACATGTAGAAATTATAAAATTAAAAATATGAAATCATGATTTATGAAACAATGAAGTATTTAGGATCTAAAGGGTATCAAAATTTACAGAAAAAAGCTTAATATTTATTTGTTTACCTTATTAAACATGTCTTTCAATGTAAGTTGTGTAAGTTTTTTATGCTAATACTTTCTCTTTAATTCTGTAGACAGACATAATTTCTTGTTTAGTTACATTGTTGAAGTCTTGTAACTGCTGCTTTGAGAATTCCGACTAACTTTTCAATCGAAATTTTCTCGTTTTCAGTAACTTCTCTGTCACTTTCTTCACTCTCGGTAGGGGTATTTTCTGGATCTATAACCATACTACAGAAGAGAGAAAAATGGTATATATTTTCATTGAGTCAAGGCACATATTGGTGTTACCAGGAATGAGAGGGCGGATATGCTAGCTAAAGAGGCAGCCCTGGGAGAGGGTGATATTTATGACAATATTAATGAATCGAGAAGAATTACTTTGAGAAAAATGAAAACAAGTATAATTGAGAAATAGGCTTGGAAATGGACTCGTTCAAATAAAAATAAGGGTTACTTGGAAGTTTTTACTGTAAAAAGAAAAATTGATCTATTTAATAATATAGATACTATTCAAGTTATCACAGATCATGGTAGATTCCTGGCCTATTTAAAACGTTTTAATCTCCTCGACAATGATCAATGCTTGGCTTGTGGGAAGTATGGAAATGCAGCTCATTTTATGGAAGAATGTAAACCGACGGAGAGTGTCAGGACGAGATTTGGAAAAATAAATGAACAGAATGTAATTGAAAAAAGAAAATTCATGAATAGCTATATGCAACAGAAATATATGAGCATTATGAATGAAAACAAGACTATCATAAGAATAGGACATTAAATATTTTAGTTTTTCTTTTGTGTACGAGTTTATGTGTTGGGCAAGTGAGTTATGTCTCGTCTTATTATTTTTTGTTTTCTAACCAATTATGCTATGATTTTCCTTATTTTGTATTGTGTGAGTGTATTTTTAAAGATACACAATCTGTGTTAATCTGTGTTTTAAATCTTTTGTTTTTTATCTTTTAACTGTATTTTTGTTTGTCTGCGTCAGGTGTGCTGCATTAACCATGAGGCCGATTATTATCAGCCAGGAGGGTTGCAGCATACTGGTAAACTAAACCCATACTACAGATTTCACCATTCATTAATTGATTGATGATTGAGAAGTATTGTCATCACAATGAAAAACTTCTTTTATATCATCTTCATATATTATCGTTTCTCCACATTTCTTTACAAAATCCGTTAATTGGAAAATTTCACCTTTGTTTTGTGATATCAGAAAACCTTTAACATTATCAGCTATCATCATCAAATTTAGCTCTCCTTCAGTATACACATTTGGCTTTGCATCATGAGCTTGGTGACTAACGACAAGATGTTCCATTAAATTTTATCTTGCTTCTATGTGCACTGAGACAATCAAGCCTGAATTGTATTAGTTTAGTTATTTATTATACTTATGTCTATTTCTTGCACATGCTTAAGGCTTATCAGAGTTCTAAATAAATAAATTCCCATGTATACTCAAGCCTTATTGAGGGCCTGTGCTAGATATTTTACTGCCTGATGCAATCTCTGTGGGTCCTAAATTCTGCAACCCGGTGGGGCCATACGAGCCCTGGCGCTGGTTCTGGGTTTATGTGAATAAAACAAATCAATTATTCTTAATTTAAATAGCCCTAAATGTAATCAGTTATTCTTAATTTAAATAGCCCTAAATGTAATCTTTGGGTCTATGAGTATCATCAACAAAATCTACTTTTAGCATATAGAAAGAAATTTTTGGTAAATTTTTCCTCGTC